TAAGTTATTTGTTTTCAATCTATTTTTACCGTCATTTAGTGTACAAATATATGATGTCTATTTTTTTTAGATAGACTTAACAGACAGTATTTTTTATTTCAAGGCCATCTTTATGAAGAAAAATCATATTTTTTTGAAACATTTAAACAAATTACAAAAATAAACGTTAACATTTTCTTAAACAAACTATATAACAAAATTTCATATTAAAATGAATTTTAAGCATTTCAGATTCGACTTTTCATTTTTAGTGAATGATAATGACTGAAAATCAATTTTATAACGATAGGTAATTCAAGGATAGGCAAAAAAATGATTTTCAGAAAAATCTAATTTTCAACTTTGGCTTTTTTAACTTCCGAAATAATTCTACTTTAATTTTGGTGTCTACGCCGTTTAACTTATTTTGGTTTTAAAAGTATTGTTTGAACTTTAAAACTACCAAGGGTCTGAAAGAGTTCAGATTTTTTTCTAAAATGCTCAGTAGTTAAAAATATGAGAGGATAAAAAAATAATTTTAACTAATAGAATAATTTATCTTTATACTATTTATTTTTGTTCTTAATAAAAACGTCAAATGAAAATATAAGAGTTTCTGAAAGAAATTTTAAAAGACTACAAATGCAAATTTCATCACATAATATAAAACGTTAAAAACACTTCAATTTATAGAGGTCATCTTAAATAAGAACCAGCTAGGGAAACCCATTTTCCCTGAAGATTTGGCGTTGCTAGACACAATGTCTCGAGCATTTCCAAACACGAATTGGCCAATATTGTAATGTTTTATTTTCATTGCAATTTAACTTTTGAATGCGATAGTTACAAAAAAAAGGTCTTTGAACTAAAAAAATAAAAATAAAAATATAGCAATAAAAGTAAGAGTAATTTGTTTTCTTTAATTTAAACAGTTTAATCACAATTCGTTTGAAAAGTAATAAATTAAATTTATATAGTCCATAACTTTTCAAAGATTTTCAAAGATAAACGCATTATTATAAAAAAATATTTTCATAGATAAAGTTTTTAAAATTTTAGAACTCACAAAATACTAAAAACTATGATGCATAATTTGCATAATTGATCATCTTTTGTGATACAAGTCTATATTATATTTGCTAACAGCATGTATAATGTTTTTTTTTTATAGTAAAATTGATTAATATTATTATTATTGATTAATATATAATTCGTTCAAAATTTGGCATCAAAGTAGCATAGAAAATATTATTTATCGAAATGAGTTTTTATTTCAATATAAAATGTATTTTTATTTAAAAAATTTTTTTTAGCTTTAAAACAATTTAATATAATAATTAACGCGTTTAAAAATATTCAACTTTTAAAATAAATAATAATGTAGTTTAAACTATATTCTTATTTATTTACTTTTAATTTTTAAGTTATGGAAAATTTGTGTAATTTGTTTTATATTTATTAAATATAACTTAAAATTATTTTTTGAAATACGTATTGTATGAGCAAAAAATATTTATGCACTAAATATAAGGTGATATTAAAGGTTGTTTTTTTTTTGCCTTTGCGGGCATATTTTTCATTCTATGATTACGAAAAAATAGTAAATTATAGGTATTTGAAGGCCTGTTATTTTATCAAAATTTCACATAAGAAATGCACTAAAAAATAAATGCTATATTCTTGTAGTATCATCTACATAGTAGTTTAAAAATAAATTATTTTACTTTAATTTAATAAAAAAAACTTTTTAATTATTTAAGATTGTAAACTTGTGTATACCTTAATTGTTTAAAGTAACAGTTATAAATTATTATATCTTTAAAATATATTATATAAATTATAAAAAAAAATCTACTTAAAATGAAAAATTTGTTCGATGTTGTTTGTAACTATAATTAATTTATCAAGTGAGTTATCACACAAGTCATAAAAGATTATTATAGTAAAGTTTTTAACTATGTAAACTTTTTAAAATATTGTTTTACAATGCATAAAATTATTAAAAAATATTAACACCTACAATATCCTTTTGTTGCCGAAGAATAAAAAAAAAACTTCTTATTTTTTATTACAGTTTATTCAGAACGGTAAATTATGTATAAGAATCGTTGATTTTGATTATTAATCAACTTTTTGTAAATACGTTTTAAAATATTTTTATTAATTCTGTGTCTTTTATTCAAAAGCTGATTGACTCTTTTAGTAATTTTATAAGAGAGCAAAAAAAAAACAAATTAAACATTTAAATAATGTTTTATGGAGATCACTATTTTTGAAGTCCAAACACAAACCTTTTAAATAAAATTGACTCGTAGTTTTTTGATACACGACAGATAACACAGTTCTTTATATAAGTTATATAAAATATTAATGCTCTACTTTTGTAACATATCAACATTTTTATATGAGCCACAGAACTAATCTAAAATTCGTTTTAATATTTATAACAATAATATTTAGTAGTGATGTAACGTGTTAAAGTTTTGGTTCGAAAATTGAACAAGTATAATCAAATAGTGTGTTGAATTTGTTGAAGAATAATTTTAAAAAGTCTGTTCGAAAAATTATTAAAATTTTATTCGATATGGATTTAATAAAATAGTGTGATTATTCGGTTGGATTCAATTAAAAAATTAAAATAATATTATATACACACGTATAAAAACATAGTAAATTATAACTATGTTTATAATAATACAAGGATTTCTATATAATTTAAAAACTATATATTAATGTTTTCGTGAATATTTTTTTTAATTAAAATTTGTTGCACGTATATACTTCTTATATTGAGCTTTGCTTTTATTGTTAAATACTAATACATTTTATACTGAATAAATTTCTTGTATTGCCAAAAAATAAAAGTCCAAGACAAAAATCTGTGACTTATAATCAAAAGTTTTGTTGACAAAACTTTTTCTTAGTTTCGAATTTACTCAGTGATTTGATAGAGCATGAATACGCCTTGTTAAGGTAATAATAAAAAAATTAGACATAGATGCAATCCTTTTTTTTTTTTTGTAAAAAAAAATGTTCATTGTTTTTTATTCCTTTTATGCAGAAGTGTATTTTAAGGAGATAGGGTTTTAAATTGAATTACCCCAAGACTTGAAAAAATTATATGATTATGATACATTTTTATGTAGTGTAACAATTTTTATTATTTAGAAATTTCCTAGTGCTAATGCCTAAATACTACTCCTATGTTAAAAACATCATCATATTAATGTTAAAATAAATTGAAACGAGTCAGAATAAAATATGATAACATTTTGAAGTTTATAAATATTATAAGTAATTATAAATAAATAGAACTCTTGACTAGCTTATTGGATATTGAACGCTGTGACTATGCACTTGTGAATATATAGCATATCTATCAAATATGTAATGTTATAACTAAATTAAATTACAAAATTTCTTTATATCACTAACCATAATAATAATCTTCAGTTTAATAAAAAATAAATATAAACATTTTTTTTCAAGAGTTTTTTATAGGCAAAAATAATTGAAAAACTATCATATTTCATATCCCTAGGAGTCAAATAATTTTTGCGTGGATATTTTCGTGTTAACCTTTTTTTGATATTTATGATCACTAAATTTTATTATTATGTTACATTACAGACACAAGACCTATGTAAAATAAAATTTCTCGAGATACAAACGAAAAATATCTATTTAAAAAAAACTCATTTTCTATAAGTGTTTTATGAATTGTTTGGAATTGCGTAGGTGTTAAAGTGATAATTATGTGGGACTATAAAACAGTTTTCAATGGAAATTAATTGTTATTTTAAAGGCATAACAAAACATTTAACGTAATATAGGACATTGCTTCCAATTTTAAGAACTATAAAAATTCACAGAATGTTTTTATTTTCATTTTGTGCACTTATAGATTGTATGTTTTAAATATATTTTATAATTATTGTATTTTTAAAAAAATGGACACATTTAAATTTTACTCCTATAATTTAAATTATAAATAGTTATTTTAAGAAAAGTATTAATAATATATGTTATATTAAATCATTATAATTCTAAATAGTATTGCAATAAGTTGATATACTTTTTTTTTTAATGTAGTTTTGAAGTAGTATTACAAGTCTTGATATTGATTTGGATCACGCTAATTTTACACAAATGTATAAGTAATTAAAACTTCAAAGAAAACAAAATACTAACGGAAAGAGATATTTGAGAAATATCAGCTACTTAATTTAAAAATGTTATAGTTATAACATCACGAACGAATGAGTTATCTAGTTGTGAACATCTGAAAGTTTTTATTTGTTATATTTTTTTTACCCTAGCAGGTCCATTGGAAAGGCAATTCAACTAATACCGTTACTAGAACTCAGCACTTAACAGTTATTTACTAACATATATTAAAGTAAAAAAAAATTATAATTTTCTCTAGGAAAAATGTTTAAAAAAGCGGGGCTCTTTTTAAAGGCCTTTGTTTTTAATGTCCATTTAGTTTCCGCGTATAATATAAATGCATACTCATAGGCGGAACTAGATATTTTTAATAGACTTGGCCGCTTGATAATACTTTTTCAAAGTTCTTAAGATTTTTTTATGAGTGAAAAATGTAGACAGAGTTAGGTGTGAGCTTTGAAGGCTAAACTTCTCTAAAAATAAATTGAAACCCTTCAAAATGTTTAAATATAACGCACATATTATTCAAAATTAAAATTATTAATGAATAAAATTAAAAAACACAATGCCTTTTTTATTTATGAAGATTGCAGATGCACAATAGAGAAAGCCACAACGTTGTATACACCCTTGATCAATCTAATGAACACTAAAAAATGGCTTTACACTTATTCACAATCGTATATATTTTTAATTTGATTGATATACATTAAAAATAATATCGATTTATAAAAAATACTACAACTTAAAAAAGAAATCATGCAAACAAATTAATCCCCAACCTCTCCCACATAAAAAAAATACTTGTACGCATCACTGACATTGTAGTTTTCATATTAAAAAAAAACACGTACTTGAACAAAATCGGTGTATGCAGAGACCTGTAAAGAGACGGCGACGACAAGCAACAGTTGCCTCATGATAGTAAAATGAGTGGATCCCATCGGCATGCCGATACGAAGTTTCGGTACAAATGACAGTGTCCAAGTTACGACCATCCTTTTATACAGCCACCAACAACCCTCCGACGCTGTAGCTTATAGGTGGCTTGCAATCGCTAAAGCTCTTCGTTGTTGTTGCCGCGTAAAAAAGGCATGAACGCTTGAATCCCTTACACACACACAGAGCCACTTGTAATTTTATTTTGCTGTACTTATATCACATACGAGGTGTTTTGAATAAGATTAACTTGTTTGCTTTTTTTTCATAATAAAAAAGTTGATTATTTTCGATATTGCTAAACTATACATCAATCATTTGAGAATCGAATAGTTAATTTATACAAATAATGGATTTATATTCATATAAAGAGCTTCAATAGAACGCCTTTATTTATAGTTTTTACACTGATTATTTTTCAATCACGTCTCTTAAACGTAAACACTAAATTTTTATTCAAAATTTATGTATTTTCTTTTATGCTGCACGTGGAGTTCTTGAGGGAATACATTAATTTAGTAATATTCAGTCGTTAATGGAATGCACTTTTTGCGAATTTGGAATAGCTATTATTTTGTCCTTTTTTCTCGTGACCGTCGGTCATAGAAAAATAGAATAATTAAATAAATAACTTAACGCTTCGCAAAATAGGATATGTATAGCCTTTAAAATTTAAAACATTGTTTTATTTATTCATAACATAGTTTTCTTTAATTGTTACACTAACACAATGTATTATTTAAAAAAAGAGTATTAATCATATGATAAAAATGGTATTGCAATTATCTATGCGACTTACATTTTTTATGTTTATTAAAACCTTAAACTTTATTTATAAAAATAACTCGCATAACATGCAGTTATATAAATCGAGAGAATTTAAATGTATTCCATGCGAATATTTGTCTATTTTAAGTCTTTTTGAGCCTTGGAATCTTGCTTCTCATGTTTAGTTTTTTTATGGCTTCAAAATAAATATATGTATAGGGGTGTGTAGAATAATAATGAAATATGTAATAAATTCAAGTTTTTCTACAACTAATTATAATTTTGTACAGAATCCAAATTATAATTGATATTTTTATGCTAATAAATGATCATGTATTAAACTACTATAGCTTTTCGCTATCCAAAATTTTAAAGAAAACTATATTTTATATTTATTAGTGTTTATCGCTCACCATGGCAAAACATCTTGATTTTTAAAAATTGGTAAGATAGAAGAAAAGATAACACCAATGTATAATTAACAATAGTAAGTTTTTTCATAATCGATTATCAAAAGTAGATTTTTTATTCCAATGAATTTAAAAAACGTTTATAACATATTCAAGTATGTATTTCTTGAAAAAAATCACAAAATATCAAGATACGCGGTTTTGCTGTGGAGGCGATGATAGATATATATAATTTAATTTTAAATTAAGTTAAGTGTCATTATAGTTATAATTTTTCTAAAAAAATTTTAGTAGCTTACGTAACTAAAATTCTTTGAATTAATTTTTAATTTATTAAATGTTTTCTCCTCATCGGATTAAGAGTGAGAGAGGGGTAAAACACAACATTGGAGGTATCATATAAAGCTTAAATAAAAATTGATCAAAAAGTATTTGTTAAATAGAAATTTTAAACAATTTTTATTAGCATTTATTTTTTGTAAACAAATATTATATATAATATATAATGTGTATATTGCATAATATACACATAATGTAAATCATTAAACAATTTAAAAATTATTAACAACACTATATTTAGTCAATATATATCATTTTATTAAAACACTTAATGTTTGATAAATCCAAAACAAAGCAAATTAAAGGGTGCAGTGGGGTATCGGCACAATAATACATTGATACACGTCATAGCTAAGACAAATATAGATGATAACTTCTGGTATCATATATTCAAAGTACCAAATATTCGTAGCAATAACCTCTTTGTGAAATGTCGAAGCATTATCAGTTAATGGCAAAGGTGTTTTCCCGTATTATACGTGATATCGTATATTTTAGTAACTTGAAGATATAAACAAACATTTGCTATGTTATGAGAGCGGGTGTGTCATCTTTCAAGCACGCCTTTTATATTCGGTAGTGATTTATATATCAAGATATTTATTATAAATATCCATTACTTAGGCAAACCAAAAAAAATAAATTTCTTTTTAATAAAGGACATCATTGTTTTACGATAGTAATTTAAATATCACAATTGTAAAACGCTTTGATGCATATTTGAAACAAATTTATCACATTCATCAAAAATTAAATGAATTTGACATAAGAGGACGATAGAGAATGTCACCAAAACGTTTATCTTTTTCTAATTCTTAATTAAGATATAATTAAAAATTTTTATTTGATATAATTTTGAATGATGTAGATTATGCTATTATGATTTTATGCTATGTAAATAAACTCTAATTTTAGCCATTTTTATACAAAATTGTACAATTATTCGGTTTAGTAACTGATAACTTGTATAAATAAAGTTTTATTATAGTTTTCTTTATTAATATTAACGTTTAAATTAAATTTAATTTTATGCGGGTTTAAAGAAAACAAGTTGTTTGGAAAAACTAAAAAGAAAAATTTTGGTGTTGTATTGTAAGATTCCTCTTCAATATTTTGTTTATGATTAGATTTAAAAAAAAGTATGTTATTTTGTAACAAATACCAAATTAATAATAAATAATATCTTTAGTAGAATTTTGAAAATAACATACAATGATTATTTTGTTGAACAACCATTACTTTAAAATGCAAACATGTATATTTATTAAGAATATATAGCATTTTTTTGTTATTTTTAATAGTAAAATTTGCTAGCGTGAACAATGAATCAAAGTTAAAAATTTGTTTGTTTTTACGTTTTGTATTTTTCTTATAATTTTTTAATATTCTGTGATATATTATAATGGAGCATTTTTATTTATATTTATTTACATTATTATTCATCATTGATCATAATATACTCCACTTCGTTCAATGAATTTCCCTTAATTAATATCATTTTGTGTCGGAAAAATGGTTGTTACTTCAATTCGATTAGTAACATATTTATAAAATATGCAATGTTCTTATTCATTAGGTTGCTAAGACATTTACTATCAAGTATATTTATGTTTTAACATAATATAAATTTAATATGATTAGTTTTTAGTTAGATGTTTTAGTCGCAGGGTTAATATTTTCAATAATTTTATATAAATATCACAATTCTTCAAAACATGAAATATACAAAATCGAAGATGATAATTAAGATGTTTTAAAAAAAACTATTTTATCTTAAGAAGTTGAAATAGATTCATTTTCAATAAGTTTTATAATTGTAGATAATACACATAAATTGGAAAGGTTAATCAGGTCAATTTCTTCTTTTAAATATTTGTACGCTTCTTTTTTTTAATTATTTGATAGACAAATTAAAAATTGTATAATATAACAAAAATTTCTAATGGGGGACAGTAGTGACTACCTTTTAATTAATTTACAATTTTTATATAATACATTTTTTAATCGTTACCTAAAAAAAGCAAAAATAGGTTTTTTACCAATTGTTACCAATTAAAGAAAACATCTTGCCTTACGCCCGAAGTAGAATATTGAACTTAACTTGATCTTAATTAATTATTAGTTCTAAAAATTATAAACACTAATTAATCAGTTCTTTACCAATTAGCCTCAATATATCAAGATGTATATCTACTTAAGTTTTAAGTTTTTATAGTAAATACTTTTTTTAAAAGATTCAATTAAAGCTTGAGGATGTCAACTTGCCCCACCTAGTTTTATGAAATTTTTTCGTTTAAATTATCAGTATTTATTTAAAAAGTACTGATATATAATAAAATACTTGGCCATTATATTTTTAAATGTACACATTTCTTAAATTAAAATAAATTCTAGATACACGTACAAAAGAAAAATTATATCATGTGCTATGTATTGTTTTTATCGTTCTTCACAACATGTTTTTCAATTAATTCGTACAAAATCAATAACTCATATTATAAGTTATAATGATGATATCATCATAAAATTATAATATATTCTAGAATGAAAAAATTGCGTATATTATAAGTAATATAATACATAAAAGTTCTTTGTCTAGTTATTTTCAATATTCGTAAATAGCATCTGAATAGCAATTTTGTAAACATAACATTAGTATTAAAGAAAAATAGTTAAAACATGAAAATCCTATACATTTTAATGTTAAACAATATTTTTAAATTGACTTCTGTCTTTTATGACTAAATGAATTAACTTCAAATATATTATCGCATTTTTACGAATTGCCCATTATTTGAATGTTAAAGTTATATAATCCTTATTCCTTATAATTATATGCCTAATCTTACCAAGAAGATTTTAAAATCCATACAGTGAAAAAAATAAATTATTAAATAATAAAACATTTTTTAATTCTCTCCCCTCAAAAAAAAATGACGTCATTAATTCATTCTTTTATAACTAATTAAAATTTTTCTTGTGTTCAAAATTTGAATACGCTATTATGATAACACTGTAGAAAAAAAGTTAATTAAAATATTAATATTTTCATAAAGTCTTTTTTTAGCATAATTATATTTATAATTTTAGTTATTTTATCAGATGCCCAACAATTATCTTTCAACTATACAAAAAGATTTCTTAACTGCACGATTAATGTTCAACTGAGCTCTGAATGATAACCTGATATTAGTTATCTTTGTCATCATCATCTTCTTAGTCTCTATCTTATCTATATAAGCTGATAATAATATATTATCAAACAAAATTTAAATACATATATATATATATATATATATATTGTATTATTTATTATACGCCTTAGCTGCTAAGGTTATTTTTGTTGCACATTTTTACAGAGAAATATATATACATTATTATAGAATAATAAAGTAAAAAAATAAATATCGTTTAAAAAACTAAAAAAACACGCTTGCTTAAAGCACATCAAAATAAAAATTATTTTTATCTTTTTAGTTCGATGTGCTTTAAAAGCGTATTTTTTTAGTTTTTTAAACTAGATTTATTTTTTATGTTTTAGTTTTTTATGACATCACTGTCACAGTCACGGAGTGTTTTTTGTCAATCAATAGATATAATTTCTGTTTTGGCAGTTAGTGTATTTATAAACTCACAACTGTGTCTTACTACTATTGTTAATAAAGGCTATATACCTGCGAATATCGTCATAAAAAACCAATTAGCTCCTGTATTTATAATCCCTTATGTACTATACATGTATATTAACTCAAAAAAATTTAAATCTTTAAATGTTTATATCTCATAATAATCAATAAATATTTGTTTATTTGTTGTATATTATATTAATGACAATGCGCGCGTGTACGGGTAAGAAAACAAAAAATAAAATTATACAGGAATAGTGTTGTTGTCGTGTGGTGAGCGGGGTGGGGTGAATGCGTTACGATCGTTTAGTCTCAAGGCCATAGACGACGGGATACGCAAGAATAATAACACGTGTTGCGTGGAAAGTTACAAACAAACATACATTCAAACATACAAACATACATACAAACGTACATACATACAGGTGACACTAATATAAGCGTGTTAAAAATTAGATATTTTTAATATTGGTATATATTTTTTTTTTCTTTTAATATTTTGTAGTAGTCCTATATTTTTCAGAAATACGATAATAATTATTTTAATAAACCAAAAACTGTAATAAAAATCTAAAAATAAGTTATTTGTTCATGATTATTGTTTGATTAAATATAGTTTAATATAATTTAGATTGATCAAATAATAATCCTGCAAAAATAACTTATTTTTAGTTTTTTATTACCACTCATGGTTTATTAAAACATGTATTTTAGTTAATATGCTTACATTGCAATAATATGTCAATATATCAAGTAAAAAAGTGCAAAACATGTTATTCTTTTAAATTATGAAAATATATTAACATTCAATTAAATTACACAAGAAAATTAATAAATCAAAAAATTATTTTTTAACGGAGTAACATTTAATCTATTATCTAATAATGTACATAATAATATGATCTACAGTTATAACGTGACAATGATGATAAAGAATAAACAATAAAATATTAATAACTTCCTACAGAAACACCCATTTCCATGTTTGGCTATACAAATTCAATATATTTTTTTCCACCTTAAAATTAGTAGGTATATCCGAGTAAGATGGATTTGGATGGCTATGATGACAATTGACTTTAAATGAGTCGTTAAATGAAATAAGTTAAGTTATTGACAAAATAAATAAAACAAAAGTGATTGTACCGATAACTATATATATATAACGACCACTCAAAAACAAATCCTCTATGTTATTTCACTTCAGTAACTCTAAGCTATAGACAAGTAGACATGTCTCATTAGCATCTTCTTCTATGTACTCCGATTTAAGTAAATGAAAATACAACGTGTATAATGTAACTGGTATGAAAATAGCAATAAATGTTCTTACAATAAGTTATTTTATGGTTCTCATTACTTTTGAATATTTTTGAATTGATCTATTTATTGTTTATACAATTGGTTATCTTCTTCAAACATACTACATTATATAAAGTATTCTATTTGAATCCATTTAATATAACAGATTAGTTTTTTATACTTCACGTTTATAGTTCTTATAAGAATTAAACATTATTGTAAAATTAAATTTCAAAATGAAAATGTATACATTTATTGTTTTATTTTTACACTATAAATGCACATTATCAAGATCTACTGATATCGAGGTTCACCATTTTTTTTTTATTTTGTAAAATAAAATTATTTGGTAAATGTATTGTTTACCACTATATTTTTTATAAAATAATTATAAGTTTATTTTTCTTTGTTTTGTAATATTTGTTTCTCAATTTTCAATTGGATACAATGCTTTTGTTCATTTTTTATCCCTTATCATAATTTTTTATTTTGTAAGATAAAAAAAATGCTTTAATGTATTATACTAAGTCAATTTGAGCAAGTATATAAAGTAATTTATTTATCATTTACCAAAAAAATTTTTCTAAAATAATAGTAATACATTTTTTTGTTCAGAAGTATATTTTTCTCAATTTTCAAGTGCATAAATACTTTTTAGGTTCATTCCTTATTCCTTATAGAGATATTAATTTTATTCTTTTTATCCACAACATACATATTTTATGAGCTTAAATATAAAAATATTATCTAACTTAAGGAATGATTGACCAATAACAACTTTGGAACCAGTATTTCGTACTAGACTTTCAAAAAGGATGCCCTTCCTTAAGTGTCTTCCTTAATACTCCCCTGACGAGGGAAAAATTATGTTATCATTTCACTTAGTCACACTTCATCTTTTACCTACAAGTTGAGTTAGGTAACTATAAGTATAGGAAGGTATAAAAATATTGAAAATTTCGCAATATTGGTCCAACCGACCAGTCATTTCCAAATTAGATTATTGTAATATAAAAAATTATGTGTATTTTAACTAAATTATATAGGATATCAACCCTTATAAAACATATAGGATGAACATAAACATAACATGTGTAAATAATGAAGTTTTTCAGCTTAATGTGTACTAGGATACCAACGACTCAAGAGACACAAAATTGTTATAAGCCTCTTTGCATCAAAAAACAAAATAATTGCTTATAAAAAAAAATATTGACAGAATTTTTTGTTAATTCTTTGAGTTCTTTGTTGATGATAATTTTCTCGGTAATTTTCTTAATTTGATCATTTTCTATTTTATAAGCTAATTAAAGATATGTTAAATTCAAAAAAATAAAATTGACACTCCTTTAATATCATTTTTTATGTTCATCCCTAAGGAATGAACATAATAAATATTCTATGGCAGGTAAATGGTAATATATTTTCATCTTTTCAACAGTAATTTATTTTTTGTATCTAATAAAAATAATTTGTTTTAATTTGTTCAACAATTTAAAAAAACCGTTTATTTGCTCTTTTCTTACAAAATTTTTGATAAATCGATATCAAATGTAGGATGAGTATTTTATTTGAGTACATTGATTGATCAACTTTTTAGACGAATTAATTTTTCTAAAAATGTTCTATCATTAATGCTAGGTTCGATAATAATATTTTTAGTTTATATGTTTGTTGAGAATTAACGGATTTGTCATTGTATATTTCTATCTGCTTTTTTGTACTTTGGACCCCTTGCGGATGTTCATTTTTAATAAAAATAACAATTTTGTTATAGGGATGTTAACTTAATTTTTTTTATTGCCAACATACATATTTAAGTGGCTTATAAAATAGGAAATAATTTAGTTACGAAAATGACTGATAGAAGTTATGATAACTTTAAATTATAGACTTGGTCTCCACCTCCCTCTCACGTATAAAAGTATTAGCACTTTTCAAAGTATTACTTCAAAAGTTGTTATCAACCTATAATTTTAATAATTAGATAATTTTTCAAAAATTCAAAATAACCGGTTTTTTGCTCTTTCCTTACAAAATTTTCGATAAATCGATAGCAAATTTAAGAAGAGTACTTTATTTTGTATGAGGTAACTAGATCATAGGACTTCTAGTTGTTCAAGTCAGTTTACGATCGATATAGGACTGGTTGCATAAAACATAATAGTAAAATAAACATATTATCAAAATCGAAAAATCATGATTTAACTCAATTATTAGTCCTCGATCATGATGAGTATTGGACTGTAAACGATAGTGTGATCAATGACTAGGTTTAGGACCAATGTCATTAATATACGACAATGGCTGTGTGTAAACACAGACGGGCACAGAACGAGGATAGAAACCATGACGGTGGTGTATCATTTGCATGTCTGATTATTAAGGGTCAGAGTCTAAGTGCAGGACACGCAATGGCGGTCGGAATCGGACAGCGGTAAAGTTCTCCAGTGATGGTCAGGGTCCTATCACTGAAAGCGTGCAAGGGCACTGGAACTTTAAGAACTTGAACACTGATGTGCAATAACACAAATGGCGTACAACAGCCAAACAATTGACCGGCCAAGCACAGGCGCCTGCTATAAAAGGATGACGCACAAAAACATTCACTGACTGACTTACGACGGTGACCTGATCACGACTGACAATTGACGCGTAGACTGACGATTTGTCGTGCTGGGTTAGTGAGGACTAGGTAAGCGAAGACGCTAGAGATCATTTGTCACGCAATATGATGTACTCAACAGTATTTGTGACAACTGGTCTCTGTTAAAGGTGCTCTCTACCAGACACACTCATTGATTTACAATTTCCTTTATTACATATATAGTGAGTATATAGCGCGGGCGGAGTATGCGTTTTAAGTATCAGTACGAGCTATACCTAATATTATAATTATAATTACTCTTCTTATTATTATAGTTATGAATAATCACTAACTTATTCACTGATATTTGTTTAAATAACATTGAAATAAATTATTATTTTAAACAGTTTGGGTTTATGTATATTTTTAGACTTCCAGTGTTACTCCAATTACGAATACTACAGAAAAGTACCTTCTAGAATCTTTCGGAGAACATGCAAATAATAACGGGAAGATTACGGTTTCTAAAGCAAAAAAAATCAATAAAAATAAATGTCAAGATGATTCAGAAATACTTAATATTATAAATCATTATGATCGAGGTAATAAGCAAAAAATTTTTAATTATTTGACAGTAAAAAAGAGTAAATGATAAATTAAAACAATTTTTCTTGGGTTATAACTACAGTAGTCTGTTTTTTATTTATTCAAAATAAGAATATACAATTTTCTAAAATAAGAAAAAAATTCGAATTTTTAGATAATAAGATGGTTGACTTCAAAGCTTTAGTAATTGAAAAATGTAAAAACCTTCGAAAAATTGAGACAAAATTAAATAAATACAAATGCTATTGTTATGCAGATAATTGCATACCAACAAATATAGCAGTAGATCTAATAAATAAATACGGAAGAAATAAACTTTTATATAATCGTAAGTATAAGTAAAATTTATTCACATGAATATTAATAACTCTCTATTAAATAGATAGTCGTGTTTTTACTGGGGTAAGTAATTTAAAGGCGTAGTTTCATTCACTCGATATTAAAAATTATGTTTGATCTTCTTCTTCTTTTTTTTCTTCTTGTGTATTAACGGCCACTACCCACATAGCAATTTCAATATATTAATATTGTCAAAATATTCTTACAAAATACTTTTTAAAATATTTTGAATAAAATATTGTGTCAATATCTCTTAAACATAATAAAAAATATATTCTATTGAAATATTTTCATAATATGCTCACAATATAATTTTTTAAATATTTGTTTATGTATATTTTGATAATATATTAAAGATAATAAATACAGTATATTACACCGAAAATATTTCTACAATGTGCTTAAAAAATATCTTTTTAAATATTTGCTTATAAATATTATGAAAATATATTAATTAAAATAAATATAGAATATTTAACTTGAAATATTTGTTGAATATATTATCAATATAATTTTTTAAATATTATAAATATATATCTTGTTGGCCAACTGAGGTAACTTAAGAGACACAAGCCATCCTCTTTTCTCCCTTTAGTTACATCTTTGGATGATATTGGTATCTTGTTATATAATACTTATGTATTATATATACATATTCCTAAATCTTTAATAAGTAAACAGCCATTTTCTCTAATTAGTATCAATTTTAATTAACTTAATTCAATTAAGCTAAGTAAGTTAGGGACAGTAAAAAACCCTTGTTGCTATTATTTGCAGGCCTATCGAGTTAAAATTTTTTTAGTTTTATCAACGCAATTATATCTTATTATTGTCCTGTGAAACTAAAAATCCTAAAAAGTTTTTTTATTATAGTTAGAATATATTTCTATATTATCAACAATAATAGTCAGTTTCTAACTTACAAGGAGAAATCATGGTGATGGGATCGCCGATTTTCAAAAAAATTATATGAATCTAATCTAAATTGAATATAAAATTGTATTTACTTTGAATTTTTTTAAACAAGAAAAATTACTTAACAGACAAATAACCATTTGAATTACCTTAAATAGTCTTTTTTATCCTATTTCTTTTGAAGCAACCTGGGGGTCAATGGGTCACGTACGAGTCCAAAGCACTAGAAGTACAGGGTTCAAATCCCGCGTAGCGACCTATTTTTTTGCATTTTTTTAATATATTTATAAAACATTTTAAAAATATTGTCACAATATATTTTTTATAACATTTTAGAAATATACCTTTAAAATATTGTGAGAATGTAATATTCGCTGCCAAAGTATATTCTGAAAACATTGTGAGAATATTTCAATATATTCTGGTTATATTCTAGAAATATTTTAATATCAAAAATAAATATTCTAGGAATATTCTAGAAATATTTCATTGCTATGTGGGTAGGATCATCCCGTAAAACAACCAATCCTCAAAATCTCTCTGTCAGCTGCTTTTGTTTTTCAATCTGAGCCTCCATTTATTGATTTTATGTCTATCTATACCACGTCTTCCCATCTTAAATGGAGTCCTACAAGAGGCTTTTTCCCTTCTGGGTTCTCTGTCAATACCATGTACAGTAGTAGGTTCTGGCTATGCCAAGTGTGACCAACCCACTGTAACCTTCTACTCTGGATTATATTTAATATGTTTGGATGATGCAAGAGTTCCTCTAATTTTTTGTTTTTCTTATTCTCCATCCATCAGTTTTCTCGTCTTTTACTGGACCAAAGATCTTTCTTAGGATTTTCCTCTCCAAAATAA